ACTACATGAATAGTTCTATAATAGGTAGTACTAATACCGTATTTTTCAGAGTATAAGTCGACCTTAGTTTTTGGGGAGGAAAATAAGAAGAAAAGCTGATTGGTGAGTGGATCGGCCTCCCGGAATACCCCCAATCAGCTGTTTCCAGAGGTGAATTTTAGCAACAGGTTCGTTGGTTGTGAGCTCTGTGCCTTGCTTTTTTTTTCTGCCTCTGAAACTTCTGAAACTCCATTTCAGAAAAAAACTTTTTTTTCTGCTTCTGAAAGCCTCCGGAAAGGAGCTTCAGAAAAAAAGGCTTTTTTTCTGAAGCTCTGTTTGGAGGCTTTTTTTCTGAAGCTTCTTTCAGAGGCTTTTCTTCTGAAGGACCAGGGGTGGGTTCTACTTACCTTTACCACCGGTTTGCAACGGGATGCGCAGATCGCTGGTGATGACATCCGGGGCAGTGGGTGGGGCTTCTGGCCGGTTTTACTACTGGTTCTTGCGAACTGGTCCGAATCGGGGGCAACCCACCACTGTGAAGAACTATCTGTACTCTGTTCAATCTCCTTTCTTTGGTATTGGTATGTAGAGTAACCTCTTCCGATCTGTTGGTTATTGTGTCATTCTCCAGATTTGTTAACATAGTATGGTTAGAGCCTTTACTGATTCTTCTTTTGTTGCTTGCCATATTATTTTAGATAAAAGCCTTTCAGAGGCTTTTTTCTGAAGCTTCTTTCAGTGGCTTCTTTCAGCCTCTGAAATCTTCATTTACGAGGCTGGGCAGGGCTACATTCAGAGTATAAGGCACATCCAGATTTTCACCCTCTTTTTTGGGCGAAAAAGGTGTGTCTTATACTCCGAAAAATACGGTAGTTTATCATTCTTTTGATTTTTTTTTAAAAAAATCATTATTTCTGCTTTATTTGCAATATCAGTTACATAGAGAGAAAACATTTGATAAAGTTGATTAAAGAACAGTAACAGAAGTGAAGAAAGTTACAGAAATATAATTATATTAATCATTTGATACAATATGAAACAATTGGAAAAATGTAATATGAACTTCAAGCGTTAAAACAGTTACATTTAATATATATTTCTGACAGTTTGCTGATCTAGGAAGAGAATTTAAAAACAAATCTTCTCTGTTACTGCTAAACTTGATACTCAGTGCTGTTCATTCATTAATATATACAAATTATGTTGTTTTCTGGACTGATGGTTGCTGTAGCAACACAAAATACCAGGTGTGCAATTGGCTTATGGGACTGGTGTGAACAGACTATGGATCAGTAGTTTAGCTGGTGCTTACAAGCTGAAGATACCACATTCAATCCCTGAATAAAAAAATGCCTGAAAACCTGAAAAGATGCTACCAATCAGAAGAAATCAAAGTAGTAGATGGGGTAGGATTACAACTAGTTGCAAAGCTTGCTCTCCTAAGACTAATTTAGATGTGACAATAGCAATTACATGTGATGAAACACAATTCTATCATCTTTATTTGAGTATATATATATATGTGTGTGTTTGTGCATGTAAGATTGTGTATTTGAGAGAATGAGAGTGCTATAACTGCATAGCTAAAGTCAGGAAAATCCTGCAGATGAAAAATCCCACCTCTCATTTAGACCATATTAGACTAAGTAAATGAAAATTTTGCCACAGCTGACATTTCTATTTCATTTTAGGAAAATAATTTGATCTTTTCTAAAGTAATCTGGAATGTTCATATAAAACCAGGAGTGGGGAAATATGGACCCTTTATGACCTGTGGGCTTCAACTCCCAGAATTCCTGAACCAGCATGGCTGGTGTTGAAGTCCACAGGTCATAAAGGGGACATAGTTTCCACCCCTGAATTAATACTAACATAGCTTATCTTGTTAGGTGAGAGTTCATGAGGGGTTCAACAAGTTGCTTTTCTTGCACCATTTTCAATCTACCCATTGACATCACTCAGGCATAGATCTAAGATTCATTAGAAAGCAGGTTATTATAAATCCTGAGGTATGCAGATACAGATATCCTGCTATAAATATATTGTGTCATTGCTATGGATATAAAAGCTTATTATTTTCATTAAGTAGTAGATCATCCAGTTGCTACATTATCCTTGCCTCTGTTTCTTCTTCACATTTTTAAACCAACATGAAGAAGAAAGAGAGGCAAGAATAAGGCTGCTCCTAAAAAAGAAATGAAGCCATGAGCTGATACAAAGTAAAAAAAGCCTAGTTGAGGTTCAGCCTTTGGTGGGGGTAGAGGAAGAGATTTTTAATTCAGGATTCCTGCTTTCCAAGAATATTGGCATCTTATTTTTTAATTATTTTTAAAGAACTGCATAAATAGATATCTGCATATACATCTCATAACTTTCAGTTTGTACCCATGTTCCCCCAATCTTCAAATTACAAGATTACTCTTACTCCAGAGGTTGCTATTTAATATATACATATAAATAATAACCATAGTTTTTCAATCAATCAGAATAGAGCTGGAAGGGACCTTCAAGGTCTTCTAGTCCAACCCTCTGCTCAAGCAGGAGGCCCTATATCATTTCAGACAAGTGACTGTCCAGTCTCTTCTTAAAAACCTCCAGTGAGGAAGTGTCCACAACTTCTGAAGGCAAGCTGTTCCACTGGTTAATTGTCCTCAGTTACAACAGCACTGAAAAAAGTGACTTAAGAACATTTTTCATAGTTATGACGGTTGGAGCATCCCTATAATTCATATGATCAAAATTAAGATGCTTGGCAACTGACTCATATATATGACAGTTGCAGTGTCCCAGGGTCATGTGATTCCCTTCTGCGATCTTCTGTCATGCAAAGTCAATGGGGAAGCCAGATTCTCTTAACAACTGTGGCAAGAAAAGTCATAAAATGGGGCAAAACTCATTTAACAAATGTCTTAGCAACAGAAATTTTGGGCTCAGTTGTGGTCGTAAGTCGAGGACTATCTGTATTTTAAATATTTTTAAATTATTTTCATTGTATGTCTTCTAAAAATATCTCTAGCCGAGTTGCTTCATGATTTTCTTTACTAAAATTCTGGAATAATCAAAGTGAGCAATATCAAGCCACAGATAAGCCTTTCATATGCTATTGGCTCCAGTAAGATTGATTAACTTTCCATTGACATTCATTTTAAAAATATTGCTTTTAGAATATTGCTTTTTCTTATCAAAGAATGGTCATCTAGAACAAACATAAATCAGTCTGTGATTTGACATTGACCAAGATGTGCTTGACACAGACTTGTTCCAACATCATAGATTCATTTTGACATACATTAGCTACCCTGAATCCTGTAGCAATGCATTTTTATATAGTGTATGGCAAATTCTGTTATGACATATTGTTTGCCTAGTGAACTGATTTAACAGCACCAGGTGTTTGTGGTCACATTGCTTGAAAACTACATTTTGAAGCACTGTATGTCATTGATTAACAACTGTGAGCATAATAGCTATGTAGTGTTTTATCAAGAAGGATAATAGATTCCAGCCTCAAATGATGAAAGTAGTTATCATAACCATTAGATACATAGATCTACCAAAAATATGACAATAGCATTATGAACAAAATAGAGAAATAGGCTTCTTTCGGTTTGGTCTCAAAACATCAACATCTTTGATAAACAGTTGTGAGCATGATAGCCATGTAGAGTTTTATCAGTTTGTGAAGAAAAAAATAAATTCTAACCTCTGATGAAAATATTTATCATAGCCATTCAATACACAGATCTACCAAAAGTATGACAGTAGCATTAAGAGCAAAAATGACAAATAGACTTCTTTCTGTTTGGTCTCAGGCTATCTCCTGTAGTTCTTATTAATTAATTAATTCAGAAATTAATTCTGAACACCAAAAATAATCTTTTTCTGTACCAAATTTGTGAGCGGAAAACTTGGATAATGGATTTCCCTTTTGGCAGTAACTGTACTGTTGAAATATTAAAAAGCCCCAGGTCTTCCACTGGAATTTAATTGAAGTGTGGAAGACCAGGAAACTACAGTTTGCTGGACAATATTATATCCAACCTTTGGCTATGTCATAATGACATAAGTGCAATTCAACCATGATAATTTATCTGAAATTCCCTGTATTTCCCAAAGCAAATCTTTTTTGCATCGATCTGAATTGATAGATAAATACTGGAAAATTTTGTTGAAAAGAACAAATTGCTTCATTTGTCAATGAAGCTTACCTTTTTCACAAAATGTCCAGGTGAAGTTTTGATTAACTGGTGTCATAACTGGAACCAATTCCCTAAGAAAGCTTCCTGTTTACTTATCTAATTAGCAAAATTAAGTAATTTTACATCATTGAAGAAACAACAATTATTATGCAATCTGTGGTACTGTAATTCAAAGAAACATGGAAGGAAACTGGGTGAGAAACAAAAAAGTAAGCATTAGCTGGCATATGTTGATGTTAAACGCAGCTCCAAAATTAACCATACATAGAATAAATATGCACACTTAGCAATATGTAATATCAGCTATGGGAAATCAAAGACAAGAATAAACATTTATTTCTGTAGTTTGGAAATAGACACCATCTAAACTATTATATGCAGATGGAAAAAAATGTGGCACTGACAAGGTAGATTCTTTCCTTTCAATTAAGATTGATTATGGCAAAGAAAAGGAATAACTCCCTGTTTATACTTGCAGCTTAAGAGTTTCCTGTGATTTTTATTTAATTGTTGAATCCCGTCATCATCTCTAGTTTGATTTCTACAGAGTTTCCATTGGAGATTTAGTGTCTTTATAAATGAACAACTATTCATTCATGTTCAGCAAAAGAGATATTACAATTCAATATACTGTAGATTCAGTGCCTAGGGTGGAGAAATAAAGCAGAAGGTGCAATCCTGCTTTAGTATTTAAGGAACCATCTCCCCCCCTCCCCCCGTAAGTTGTATACATTTTACAAAAAAAGCACTACTCAATATGATTCTGTCCTAATAAAAATCGTCTGATTTGGTCAATAACAGAACTCTTTCTCTTGTCTTTAGGTATAAAGCCATAGTGAGACCAATGGACATCCAAGCTTCACATGCCCTGCTGAAGATTTGTTTGAAAGCTGCTACAATTTGGATTTTCTCCATGCTGCTGGCCATTCCAGAGGTTGTGTTTTCAGACTTGCATCGTTTCTATGACAAGGGCACTAATAAAACATTTATTAGTTGCACACCTTACCCACTTACCAATGAACTGCATCCAAAAATTCAATCCATGGCTTCCTTTCTCATCTTTTACGTAATCCCGCTGTCTGTTATTTCAGTATATTATTATTTCATTGCAAAAAATCTGATCCGGAGTGCTTACAATCTACCAATGGAAGGAACTATTCAGGTTAAAAAGCAGGTATGTTATGTTTGGTTTACAAAGACATATACATACATAAAGGTAAAGGTAAAGATTTCCCTCGCACATAAGTTCTAGTTGTTCCCGACTCTAGGGGACGGTGCTTATCTCCATTTCTAAGCTGAAGAGCCAGCGCTGCCTGATGACAATTCCGTGGTCATGTGGTTGGCATGACTAAACACCGAAGGCACACGGAACGCTGTTACCTTCCCACCAAGGTGATCCCTATTTTTCTACTTGCATTTTTACATGCTTTTGAACTGCTAGGTTGGCAGAAGCTGGAGCGTACTGATTAGGTAAAATGCCACCACACAAGAACCTCTAAACATAGATGGAAAAAATACTTAATAATATTATGATTTGGTAATGCCTAGTTTGTATCAGGGTAAGACAAAGACTGCCATCACTAAATATGCTGAACTATACTTACTCTGCCCCTTGCAGTAAAGCTTGTATACTGTATAATAGCAGCCAATAAGTGACTGATATGAGGATCAAAATCTGGTCTTGTAGCATATGAGATTTAATGCAGAAAACATGGCTGCTTCTCATGCTGAGTATCAAGTAGCAAATATAAACATGGAGCACTAATTTCAAAAGGTAGTCTGGGTCAGATTATGTAGGCCTCTGCCTACATAATTACATTACAATCTGGTCCTAAAATACAAAGGAGATAAAAGTCATATTCCTATAAAACATCAGTATTTGGATGGGACTTCAAATGGCTGTAATTAGGGATGCAGAGCATGAGTGATATTTAGAATGACCAATTTCAAAAGAAAAGCAATTCTTTAAGAAAATAAATAAAGACTAACCCAAGAGAACTGGAAGTCAGAGTGATCATCCATGTATTACTGTCTAGATAACTAAAACTAAACATAGGATTTCATCTTATCTTTGGCATTGTTGAGCTAATATCTCTTTTTTCTTTTCAGATGGAATCTCGGAAACGCCTCGCCAAGACAGTGCTAGTTTTTGTCTGTATCTTTGCTTTCTGTTGGCTCCCTAACCATATCATCTACTTATATCGGTCATACCATTATTCAGAAGTGGATACATCTGTCCTGCACTTTATCACTTCTCTTTGTGCTCGAATATTGGCATTTATTAACTCTTGCATAAACCCTTTTGCCTTGTACTTGCTCAGCAAAAGTTTTCGGAAACAATTTAATCACCAGTTATCTTGTTATAAAACCCGTCTTCTCATTCGATCCCAGAGTACAGCCAGAAGCACCACCCGGATGACATCTTTCAAGAGCACCAACCAGCAGTCCATGATCACCTTCAGTTTTATTAATGGCAACCACAACTGTCATGAAGAAAATGTACAGTATGCATGAAATTAATACTCACTGCCAGAGTTTACTAACTATTGCTGCCTATTTGTATGTAGTCAGCAATAAATGTACATACCATAAAGAAATGGATCTGTGGCCAGACCATGAATTAGGTAGTGTGCAAGAAAAAATAATAATGCAGATTTAAAGGGCTGTCCATACCTGCATTTTGTTTTTATGATTTCCTATTATAACATGCTGGTCCATTTTCATTCACATGGTGTCTGATCCTTTGTAGATGTGAAAGGACTGCAACACAAGCCAGGAATTCTGAGATTTGGAATCAAAAAATATTTGGTTAGATGTTAGATAAAGGGTGGTCTAGTATAGTTAGTTAGTGTTAGTTATCACCTTTAAAGCGCTCCATGGCTTAGGACCTGGGTACCTACGAGACCGTCTTTTGCCACCAATAGCCTCCCACCAACCAGTTCGTTCTCACAGGGAGGGACTACTCAAGGTACCGTCAGTCAAATTATGTCGACTGGCGAATCCCAGGGGGAGGGCCTTCTCTGTGGGGGCTCCAACCCTTTGGAATGAACTGCCCCCGGAGATACGGAATATCCCTGATCTCCGTGCTTTCTGCCGTGCCCTCAAGACCCTGATGTTCCAACAGGCGGGGCTAAACATACGAACATGTAAATGATTTTTTAAATGTTATCTAATTCTGGGTTTAATTGACCAAACTAAGTAATAATTTTAATTAGCAATTTTATGATGTTTGTGTGTCTATATTTTTCTTGACTGTACACCGCCTTGAGTCCTACGGGAGAAAGGCGGTATAGAAATATAATAAATAAATAAATAAATAAAA